ACGTAAGTCACACAAAATTTCTCTTTCCATGAATCAGACATTTTTTTCAATTGATCTTTTCAGGCAATCGTCTGACCTCGCAGAATGATAAGAGCCAAATATCGACTTGACTATTTCGTAGTAATTGAATTATTCGTTTGACCAAATTGGCATTGACAGCGTAAGAGACAGTAATAGGACAAGTTAAATGACTTAAGCTGACGCTTTATTGTAAAACAGGCATTTCTTTACACCTTACAATTTATGCTATGATTTAATTTAAAAATAGTCCCATCACCAAGTGTCGTTTTTCGGTATTCCAGCGTTAGCAGTTCAAGCGAGCCTTTTACACACCAGGCCACAGGGCGCGTGAGATTTCACTGCACAAACCCTGTCATTCCAGGAACCGTTTGGTCTAAGTGACGCTGAGGATTGCCTAGTCCACATGTTGCTGCATGGTTCGTGGGAATTTCCATTCGGTTCCTTTGGAGCCCATGCTTTGTAGACTGGAACAGAGTAATCACTCCAGTAGAAGCCGTTAGCGGTCCACATCAGGCCGATCCACACTTGTTCACTTGATGGTGCAAACTTCCTCGCGAGGGCCAGAACGAACTCGTTTTCCCGCGCATTGGTAATCTTCACCAGGTCTCCTCCCATACTTTTACAGTGAATTTGGGCCTCGTGCCAAGTCCTGGATACGCTACTTGCATGGTAGCAAAAGCTTTCGAACTGCTTCCATCCCTGAGGACAACCCGAGGACCCTGTGAAAAAAAATTAAACTAGTTTTGAGCAATTTTAATGGTAATTGCGCTTCTGATGTGGATGATAATACTGCTTGACCCTTTCTGACTGAGGCATATGAACTTAACTTTTAATTTCGAGTTTTTCAATGAGAACTCGGAAGAAAACTCGAAGGGCCGGTTATTTAAACAAAGTTTAGCTGTTGTTTAACAAAACCGCGCTATAAGCCATTTTCAATTTATAGCCAAACCTTTTATCTGAACGTTTATTTTTGTGAAGAGTGTCAAAAGGGCTGCAAGCCAATAGTGGAAAAACATTTATTTGATTAAATCAACCCTCCTGTAGAGAATCCCTGAGGTCCACTACTTTCATAAAACCGCGGTTTGGGTTAGACCTCGAGTAAATAACCAGCCCCAAAGGTTCAAGACAGACATTTTCATCGTTACGCGCAATACCGACCACGTTTCATCGCTACTTGTGTTAACGAATAACTCGTAACAGCTTGTGACGTCAGAAGATTTCTTTCTTAGGTTAAATCTTAGACACTTTTAGTCGGTCGAAAGAAAAAAGGGTTACCGGTAACATTGAGTCTTCTTTGTGCTTACCAATCTTTATACTATACCGTAAAAAATACAGCGAGTCAGAATACAGAAAGTCAGTCGCATATTTTGACGGTATAGTCAGTACACCCACTCCTCGGCATTGTGCACTGCGATCTTATCGTATGCGTCGAAATTCCGCAAGCATTGCCGTTTCCAAGTTATTTCGCTAGAAGTGCTGTTGGAACCATGTAAGAGCCAAATGCTCCTCTCAGAATTAGTTTTTAGGTCGAAAACTTGAAGTCGTGGTCCATTAAAAGGCGAATAAAAGAAGAACGAGGCTAATATCCGGCCATCTTGACCAACAAGCTTGGTCAATATAGGATTTATTGTATAGCAAAAATATTTCGCTTCGATAACAATCAAGAATTACTTGTTTATGTTTGTGCTCTGGTTCTTGTCGCTTAATAAACTTGTGTAAACCGCCGCCTTTTTGTGACTCTACAGCCGATATTTTACAAAAATTATGAACTTTGTATGTCTGCTCTGCGCAATTGTTTCACTTGCGCGGGATCAAAGCGGGCAATCCTGAATGAGTAAGAAGGGACCCATATTGCCAACAGGTGCTGCCAGCTATAAAATACCATTGGATAAATAGTTAATCTTCATACCTGATACACATCCTAAAGCAAACAGTACAACGATACAAAGCGGAAGAATCGCGTGAATCTTCATCTCGGTTCCTTTCAGTGGCGGTAATGGTGAAAAGTCTAATTCCTGAAGAAGCCGATGTTACCCTGGATAACACAAACGGTATGAGTTGAGAAAAGGAGTTCAGGGAAATATATAGGACACGTCAAATATGGGACCACGTCTAATACAATCCATAACTCGATATACGCACGTTAAGCATGAACAAATTCTTAATTCTAGGTGGTACCATTACTTTCTGTGAGTCAAATTTTATGCCTACCATTTACGTAAGTCACACAAAATTTCCCTTTCCATGAATCAGACATTTTTCAATTGAAAATTGGGGACGTAAAAGGCGACAGCTGATAGTCAAGATAAAGAAAACATAGATACCTCTCGCGGCTATACTGTACTCCAAACACAGTTGGCTTTCTTTTCTGACTCTCGAAATAAACTCGTCAAAATATTTGTGCTGTATAATAAAACCTATTTTGATGGACAGATATTAGCCTCGTTCCTTTTTTTGCGTTGTAATGAACGTCGACTTCGACTCGGTCCATAACAACGCAAAAAACAGAACTCAGGTAATATCCAGCCATTTCGACCACAAGAATTTTTATTCGCGTCATCCACCAGTCGTAAAGAAAGCCTACCTATAGAAGCTGATGCCAAAAATGATGCTTTCAATAATATTTTAATCGAAATTTGTCCGGGAATACGCGCCCTAAATAAGCACCATATATGTTAAAGGTTATAAAAAAAAAGTAGTTTCCCACATGTCAGTAGGTATTTATTCTTTTTGTCCAACCAATTAAACAGTCATTCACGTGTATTTTCAGACACCTCGGAATCTGACTCCGCTTTATTCAGTATTATTCTGACGAGTGGGCCTCTTAGGTTGCCAAAGTTATTTCAAAACATCTCTCCGTACACACACACATATGGGACTGCCTCTGATTACAGAGATAATACGGTCGTCAGAGACACTTCGCAGTGCTTCAAAGGTGCTCGAAAGCCGATTAGTGCTAACCCACGATTAAATCGCCCTAACCCAAGAATAAAATTTAACCTACGATTAGTTTCTGTTCCTGAAAGCGCGATTAGAACTATCCCGGCCCAGGCTTAAAATAAAGGTCAACTTTAACACACCTAGCAAGGTGGATTAACTCACCAATCGAGGGAAAACTTTCCCCAAACAAAACAAAATGGCCGACTTTTTAATTGGCGGATTAGGCTTAATGCCG